ATCATCAACCCCTTTCACTACTATCATCAACCCCTTTCACTGCCATCATCAACTCCCCTTTCACTGCTATTATCAACCCCTTTCACTACTATCATCAACCCCTTTCACTGCCATCATCAACCCCTTTCACTGCTATTATCAACTCCTTTCACTGCCATCATCAACTCCCCTTTCACTACTATCATCAACCCCTTTCACTGCCATCATCAACCCCTTTCACTGCTATCATCAACCCCTTTCACTGCCATCATCAACTCCTTTCACTGCCATCATCAACTCCCCTTTCACTACTATCATCAACCCCTTTCACTGCCATCATCAACTCCCCTTTCACTGCTATTATCAACTCCTTTCACTGCCATCATCAATCACTGGCGCTATGAATGTATTCACATCTACATTCCAACACACCAGCAGTAAAAAAAAATTACCTGGTGCTCCAATGTCTTTCTTCACCTGTAATCCATCTTCATTTGAACAGCTGCTCTCGGGGGATGTTGGTGACCTCACTTCAGGAGTGGAGACGTCACTACTAGAGCTTATTATTTCATTTTTTAAAAGTTGTAATATACTTGGTGATCTGGCTATCGTCATTGGTGTTTGTCCAAGATTGTTTGCTTGCAAAGGATCTGCCCCGTGTTTCAATAATAGCTCAACCACCTGAGGGTGAAAAAGAATTATGATATAAAGAAGGTTACATCAAATAAAATGTCATGTACACGCAGAAAATAGAATGTTGATACCATTGTAACATGCATCCTCTAACAAAAAAGTGGAAATAGCGAAATATAGAACATGTTAACATTAAGACGAGGTTTGATCTGCAACTGTAAATCTAACGCTTGCAGATCACCTGGAGGTAACATACTCCAAACAGAGAAACAGCAAATGTCAAGACACTGAGAAAATGAATCTTATCTAACAAAGATGACATACTGCCTATGTCACGAGGGAAGCAGCTTAATCATATCCCTCAAGAACTCATTGTCAGTAGTCATAGCAATGGATCAAAGAATGCAAAGTTCCTGGTGATAAAAAACATCAACACAAGCAAGCGACTTCTTCAACAACATTATCATACAGTTGCAGAAAGACGACCAGACTTTATAGATGAGTAGATTGAACATGTGATGCCTGTGGGTTAATATAGATTATCGAAAGGGCAAATTATACGGTTGCCTGTCACATTAAAACCCAAACGCTGAACTGATTCAATATTTAATTTTTTAAAATTAATTTGGAGTTTGGTAACAGAAGAGCAATTAAGGATGTGTTATATAATCTCGTTTGTAAAAATCATTTGAATGTCAAGTGCGAGGCTGTCACAAAATAGTCCTCAGTTTCAAGAAATTTGCTAGACAATATTAACCCTTTGAATACCAGTCTTAATTTGGTGTAACATTTTTAATGTACCGGTACTTGTAAAATGGCCACCGATCGGCCATTTTGAATTAGATCTTTAAACAAATAAGTCTGTACATCTATGACATGATGTATAATGAATATATAAAATTTGAACATGATCAGTCAAAGCATGTCTGAGATATAGCATTCAATAAAACAAAATGGCCACCAGTCAGCTATTTTTAATCCAATCTGAAAAACAAAATGACGAGTATCAGGGCCCATAATGTTAACAGCTGAGAAATGCTTGAATTTTAATTGAACATACCTATGACAAGGACACCTCATCATATCTCAATTGAACATACCTATGACAAAGACATCTCATCATATCTCAATTGAACATACCTATGACAAGGACACCTCATCATATCTTCAATTGAACATACCTATGACAAGGACACCTCATCACATCTCAATTAAACATACCCATGACAAGGACACCTCATCACATCTCAATTAAACATACCTATGACAAGGACACCTATTCATATCTTCAATTGAACATACCTATGACAAGGACACCTCATCATATCTCAATTGAACATACCTATGACAAGGACACCTCATCATATCTTCAATTAAACATACCTATGACAAGGACACCTCATCATATCTCAATTAAACATACCTATGACAAAGACACCTCATCATATCTCAATTAAACATACCTATGACAAGGACACCTCATATCTCAATTGAACATACTATGACAAGGACACATATTCATATCTTCAATTGAACATACTATGACAAGAACACCTCATCATATCTTCAATTAAACATACTATGACAAAGACACCTCATCATATTTCAATTAAACATACTTATGACAAGGACACCTCATATTTCAATTGAACATACATATGACAAGGACACCTATTCATATTTCAATTGAACATACCTATGACAAGGACACCTCATCATATTTCAATTGAACATACTTATGACAAGGACACCTCATCATATCTTAATTGAACATACCTATGACAAAGACACCTCATCATATCTCAATTAAACATACCTATGACAAGGACACC